GATTTTCCATTGTATATCTTGCTAAAAGCCCTAGGCATAGTAGCTTCACTATCATAGTGTAAAGAAATGACTCGCCATCGGCTATGGCCATAACCCTATTTCTAGTAATAAATTCCTTAGCCATTCTACCTCTTTCCCTATGGTTGCCGATGCAACAAACTCGGATTCAATAATGGAATAAGTTATACATATCCGTTTCTTAGAATCCCATGAAATAGCTCCTCCACCAAGAGTGAATATCCAACCGAGACATAGACTTGTTATCTTTTGCACTTGTTATCCAACTAGCATTAGTATATCCCTCTAACACCGATGGATAACCCTCATAAGACAGATCCTAAACTCAAAGTTCTTTTGAGATAACCAATGACTCTAGTAATTGCTTTCCAATGATCAACACCGAGCCTACTAGTGTATCTTGAAAGCCTACAAACTATAAAGGAAATGTCTAGTCTAATGCAATACATTGCATACATTAAGCTACTAATTACACGAGCATACTCGATTTGAGCAATTGCTCTCCTAGAATTTTTCATTAACTTATGTGAATTTTCATATGGGATGCTTACCTCTTTAATTCCTAAATGTTGATTCTTATTTATAATTGCATCAACATAATGGGATTGACACAAAGCATAACCCCTACTTATAAGCATCAATATTTGAAAGATAAGTACTTCTCTATTTCATTCACACCATCAATATTTGTCCTAAATATAAACATATCATCCACTTATAAGCATATGATAACACCATATTCTTTTGTCACTTTAGAATAAATACACTTATCCGTATTATTATGCTTAAATCCATGAGATAATATAATATAATAAAAATTTTCATGCCATTGTTTTGGTGCTTGTTTTAAATCATATAATGATTTAACTAGTTTGCATACTTTCTTCTCATTTCCGGGTAATACAAACCCTTCGAGTTGTTCCATATATACTTCTTCATCCAAGTCACCATTCAAGAAGGTCTGTCTTAACATCCATTTGATGCATAATTAAATTATGAATAGAAGCTAGAGCAAATAGTACTCTAATGAAAGTTATCCTAGCCACTGGTGCATATGTGTCAAAATAATCAATACCTTCCTTTTGCCTAAATCCTTTGGCCACTAATCTAGCCTAAAAAGTTTGTATTTATCCATCGGTATTATACTTTTTATGAAATACCCATTTACAACCTATAGGTTTTGAACCGGGAGGTAAATCCACTAACACCCAAGTATTATTTGATAATATTGAGTCAATTTCGTCATTGATTGCCTCCTTCCAGAATGCTACATCTCTTGATTTCATAACTTCTCTACGGGTTTTAGGATCTTCTTCTATATTTAATAAATTAGGTATTTTGTTAAGTATAGATTTTCTATCACCCTCAACTAAGAAGACAATAGACTGTGGATCAATAAAATCTAAATCCAAGTTTTTTTGTTTTCTAGTCCTTTGACTTCTCCTAGGTTCACTAGGAGTATCATTAGTTTTTCTCTTACCACTAGATAGTGGACTTGGATCAATTTGTTTATCTCGTTTGTTTAGTAGTATTAGAATCATTGATGAATTTATGTTCAATAAATTCGACATTCCTAGATTCTACTATCACATTAGTTTTTAAATCCAATAACTCTGTTTTACTTGGAATGTTGAGCATAACCTACAAATACACTTCTTAAAGCTCTTGTTCCTAGTTTGGTTCGTTTAGGATCCGTGACTCCATAGAAGGCTAGCCAACCCTAAACTCTAAGATAATTTAGATTTGATTTTCTTCCTTTCCATAATTCAAATGGAGAGACTTTAAATTTCTAAGAAGGTATTCTATTATGCACATGACACGTAGTTAACAATGCTTCACCCCATATATTATTAGGTAAGTTAGCATTCAAAATCATAGCATTCACCATATCAACTAGTGTTCTATTCTTTCTTTTAGCTAAACAATTTTTTTGTGGAGTATAGGGTGCACTTATTTCATGTATAATGCGATTAGCCTTACAAAAGAAAGAAAATTCAGTAGAAAAATATTCACCACCCCTATCATTTCTTAAAAATTTAATCTTCTTTTCTCTTTGATTTTTAACTTCATATTTATAACACATAAACATGTCGAAAGCTTGATCTTTAGTTTTCATTAAGTACATATAAGTGTATCTAGAATGATCATCAATGAAAGTAATAAAATTCCTATTTCCTCCTCTACTTAAAATTCCATTTAATTCATATATACCGGAATGAACAAGTTCTAATAATTCATAAGATCTTTCAATTGAAGGAAAAGGTTTCTTAGTCATCTTTGATTGCATACAAATTTCACACTTTCCATTACTAGTATCACTGCAAGAGATTAAACCATGTTTTGACATATATTTAATATAACCAAAATTAACATGTTATAATCTACCATGCCATAAATGAAAAGAAGAAGAGTCAACAATATAAGCAGAAACATTCATCTTATTAATAATACCGAGTTTGAACGTGCTATCGGAAGAGTATCTTTTGCCTACAAAAGCACCATTCTTAGAGAATACAACTTTGTTAGACCCTATCACAGACCTTAATCCTCTTCTTACATAACAGATTAGCATATACAAGATTTTTTCTAATTTCACGAACATACAAAACATTTACCAAGCACTAACGTTTTTCCGAAGTAAACGATATTTCAACGAGTGTCCTTGCCAAGAACCTTTACGGTGTCCTTATTTCCAATCATCACTTCGTAACCTTCAATGGCCTTCTCAAAAGTCTTGAATTGAGCTTTTTCATTGCACACATGGACGATGGCACCGAAACATACCACCAATCAAAGGTCTTGGTTGTACCAGCCATGTTCAATTCCGTGATCATGCCAATGTGCAAGTCGAAATCATTGCAACAAGTGCATCAATTTCTTTCTCCACCATATTTGCAGCATTGGCCTTCTCTATCATTTGATTCTTCAAGTATCGAAAATCACGTTTGAAATGGTGTTTCTTTCCATAATGATTACAAGACTTTTTTGTCTTATTTTTCATTACATTAGAGCTCGAGAAGTCTTGATGTTTTCTTTTCCTCCCTCCATAATTGCTCTCTCCGAATGCTTCTTTCCTCCTCGATTTGGCTTCTTTTCATCTACATAATTCACTTTGGAAATAGTTTCATAGTTCTTTTTTTGCAAGTTTCGAGTCTCTTTTTCAATTCGAAGATGTTTTTCAACCTATTTCAAAGTAAAGTATTTGGTGGTATGAAGCATCTTTTTTCCGTAATTATTCCAAGTATGAGATAATTTTGCAATTATAGCCCCTACATGAAGTGATTCATAAATCTAAACTTTCAACTTTTTTAGTTTCGATATCCTAATAGACAAATCATGCACTTGATCCATAACGGATAAATTATCAACCATTTTAAATTTGAAAAAATTTCATAATGAAAAACGTATTTGCCCCTTATTTTCTAGCATTGTATTTAAACTCCAACGCTTTCCAGATTTCTTTTTAGGATGGAACAGAGGTGAAAAGATCATATAATCGATCCGATACTTTGTTGAAAATATAGCCTCTACATAGTAATTCATCATCGACACGTTTCTTTCGTTCAGCCTCGAGTTGTTCGTAATCATCATCCTTAGGTTCTAGAAGATCCTCCAAATACGAATCCAAGCACATAAGCAATCTTCAATGCGAGTAAGCATGAACATCGGCTTGTCTTTTCATCGATTGAAATTTGTTCCATTAAAACGATCCAGTTTCACTAAATTCTAATTCATAACTTGAAACGAACTTTCTACCCTTGCTTCCATCTTTCACGAATAATCACCTTAAGATTGTTGGAAAAATTGAAATGAACTTAAAGAAGGATGAAAATATGTAGTGCTTAATTACGTGCAAAAAATACCCCATACTATCCTTAAGGTGATTGTTGCCCCCACTATAATGTCTGCAGGGATTTTAGCAATTCATCTCTAGGATACAATTTTCGCATACAAACAACTGCAGAGCAGCACTCACGAAATTCTTTCAAAAGAATATCTCTTAAGGTTGTAGAGTTTTAGAAGGAAAAGAATTTTGAGAGAAGAGGAGGATTGCGAGAGAATGTAATTGATTTCGTCCTGTGTAGTAGTCCTCTATTTATAGATCATCGATACCCTTTTATAACAAACATAATTGTTGATTCTAACAGTCATAATCCAACGAGTCATAACTATTGGATTCTAACAAACATAACTCGTTAGATTCTAACGACCACAAGGTTTGAAAGTTGTTAATTACTAACTAGCTACAACAAAAAATTAAAAACGTAATTAATTAAATAATTATGAATTTAATTACTTTAGGAAATAAAAATAAATTTTTTAATCACACACATGCACATGCAAAGTGATAAGTGCTAGTGCTAGTCTTTGATTATTTAAATATATATATTTATATATATAATTCTAATCAATTAGCCTAGTTTTTCCTCAAATTCTAGTATCAAATATTTGAAAGTTTTGCTAGAGGTCCACTTTATAAGATTCCTCTTCTTTCCATTTTTTTTCCAATATGGGATAAAATCCCACTTGAAAATACTTTCAAATTTTCTTCATGGTACACTTAACTTATTATCTAACATTCCTAATATTTCTAACATTTTTCAATTGTCAAGAGTTTTTTTTTAAAAAAATTAAATATCATTTAAAATTTAACTAAAACTCTCGACATTAAAAAAAATATATTATAAATATTTTATTTTATATTTAAAATTTACTTACAATCATAAAGACATATTTAAACTCATAAATAACATTTTGGATAAAAAAAAATTATCTTTATTTTTTTAATTTTTTCAGTAAAAAGATAATAATAAAGGGACGAGATTAAGATGAAAAAAAAAAAGATGTGATTTAATATCGTTAGTTTAAAAAATTAAGGAAAGAATAAAGTTAAAACAAAAACCAAATGGCAGAAGAACGAAATTCAAAAAAAAAAAAAATTAAAATATGATAAAGATGAATTAAAGAAAAAGTAAAAGTACTCCTGCACCATTAATCCATTGTAGATAGGATTACTGGTTGTAGATCGGACACCTGCAGCAATTAATTTTTTGTTTTTCTCAACAAACTTGAAGGAGCTGTACCTTCTGAACTTCAACTTCAGCTTATTGTGCACATTATCATCAGAAGGAAAAGGGTTTGCGGCATCATAACCCCTAAGCAATCCTTATCTAACTCATGGAGTCAATATTTCTAGTTTCTAGCGTCCTCAATGTTGATTCCAACTTCGGAGGGTATGCTGCCTTGGATTACTAAATCGAGAAACTCGGAAAGACTGTCGAACACTTAAAATGTTATTATGTCAAGTTTCATTATCTTGCATTTAGGAAGCTTCTAAAAATTTTTAATTAAAAATTATTTGTTTGTTTATATACTAAGATGTGAGCTAGAATATTTTTTGAAGTCGTCATCTAGTATTAAAAGAACTAAAATAAATTTAACATTAATACTAGTTTAGAGATTCTAAAGTAAAAGTTAGAAATGCTTTTTAAAAAATATCGATCACCCAAAAGCATTTTTTTTTCAAAAAAATATACCATGTCCGCTTTGATTCTAAAATTTTATCTTCTAAAAATATCTATTTTTGCCAAATTATTTCTCAAGTCAAAACTCCAAGTTTCTTACTTAAGTCAATTTTTTTATGATATCATGTTGAATCGATTGCCATATCCCATAACCGGAGTCATTTTAATTCAATATCGGATCTAGTTTAAGTTTTAAAATAATCGGCATATCGAAATATGACCTAATTATGAAATTGTGATTGATTTCAATTAACATCAATCCTTATTAGATAGAAGGCGTATTAATTTTCACCAAACATTTCTCTACATTTTTTTGTTCTTTTCCTATTTTTTTCTTTTCTTTTCATTTTTTTTATATTTTCCAAGGTTGGTAAAGAATCATCACCAATCCCTTAAAATTAGGAGATTCGATTCATCCACCTATTAATCATCTAATTAAACTAAAAGTTATTTAAGCAATATTTAACATTAAATAAATTTGAAATTAAATTGATAGTCCCTACACATTTATAAGAGTTTAAAATCTAACCATAAAAAATAATAATTCATTTTTACCTTATTTGCAAAATTTCATTTGAATTTTATAAAAGAAAGAAAAACATAATAGATAAAAAAAAAGATTAAAAAAATATGTCAATTGGAAAAGTTATGTAAAATAAGGACAAAATAAGTTCAATAGGGTATCCAACTCTGGACTTAAAAATGAGCCTACAAAATGAGGGACCAAATCAAACTTTGGCCATCAAATCCTAAAAAAAACAATATAAAAACCCTCATTCACTACAATAGAAACCTTGGACTTAAAAATTCAAGAGACAAAGAACACATAGAAAGATCTTAGAGGCGAAAAAATATAAAAGTAACAGTTCCTCTCTAAAAAATCTCATTAGTTGAAAACCCCCACTAACCAATTGCCATCACTTGTCGTTAACAATTCTCTAAACAAAATTCCTAAATACCCCCCTGGAAAGGACTTATAGACCCACCAATTCAGTAACCCACAATTGATTCGTTTTGTGTTTCTTCTCAAAAATTGGCTAATTTCTTGCCACATTGAGCTACCAAAACAACCCGGACATATTACTCTCCAAATTCCAAGGAAAGCCATACCAAAAAATCCAAAATTATCAAAAACTTGAAAGAGAACCCTCTCCGACTAGTTTTTTTCCTCCTTGATTTTGAATTTTTTGGCCAAATTGACAGCTACTACAGCTATAGAAATCCCCCTCAAGCTTTAAGCGACCATTCCCTTCTTACAATTATGGAAGAAAATAAGTGAATCGATATCGATTGACTAACAAATGAAACCCGACCGGATGTGGCTTAACCCATTTAAATCCTCCATTTTTGGGGCAAACTACACAACTTAAAGGCCAAATCGAGCTCTTTCAGGTCCTAGAGGTTGTTCTCTATTGATCTTAGCCCTTGAAATTGATGATTATCACCTTAATTGGATTGAAAAAGAAAAGTGAGAGAAAATGAATCTTTATCATCGTCGATCTCCTTTCATTATCAACGACGATCGATGAGATCACCATAGAAAGATCTAAGAGGACCTCTTCTAACTTGTAGGACATTACACATGCCTAAAGGTGGTCGGAGGAGCCGCCAATAACTACTTGGATAACGACAACACGTGTAGTACACGGCATAAGCATTTTTATAATTTTCACTTTCGATGGTATTTTGGTCACTTTCATTTTATAGTGACATCCTAAGCTTTTCAACAAGTAGCCATTTTTCTCTCTAGCTAACTAAAAATAAATCAATCTTCATTAAAGTTGAAGAAACCGAGTCGACCTCAAAAGGCATTTTAGTAATTTCATATTCCTTTGATATCTCGAGCGACTTGTCATAGTCTTTTGATTACTAGGTAAGTTATTAAAATTTGAATTTGAATTTGTGTTATCTAAGGATATTTTGGAATTAATTGTGAGTATTAAAAAGTTCATTATTTGAGTAAACTATTTTTATTATGACTGATTGAATCTTATCAAGTATGTCAACTTTCTATCAATTTTTTTATTTCCTCGTTTGTGTTTGAAAATTAAAATGCTAAAATTTGTGTTAGTCCAAATTGTGATTTGAACCACTTTTTTTATTTTTCCTTTGGCCAATTTTGCCTTTTCTCAAATTTAACCCGTGTATGTCTTGCTTATAATCGAAAATCATGAAGCTTGAAATCGCATTGATTCAAGTGTCGAAATGGATCATTTATGCTTGTTTTGCTTGATTATGCTTGTTCGCTCGAAAAAATTGCAATGCTCAAATTTGGATCGGTCCATACCTCAATTGGGATCGTTTTTATTGTTTTTATCTACTTTGTCTAATTCTCATTTTTTGCCTTTATTGCCTATTTTACTTTTTTGTCTATTTTAAAGTTGTATACCTTCACGTATTTCTTTAAGTTATGTTTCCATTCATGCCATTTAAGTCATACTAGCCACATATTCTTGTACATTCATCATGTTCATTTCATTTCACTTTTATACTTATTCATCTCATAGTGAGGATAAGGTCCATAACCGGCAAAGTCTCGAATCACTTATATGGCTGAAAAATATTTAGGAATAGACATAAATCTTCATCATAAAAAGAATTAGAAATCAAGTTAAATTTATATGCAATACAACTTGTCTTAGGCGGGATGGGCTAGGATAATTTTTAATCTTCTCTAAACATAACTAACCCATTATCTAGAACTCTTAAAAAACCATCCATACGAGTTTCCTAGTAATAGTAGGTGGCAACTCTATTTTTTCCCATTCCCTATTTCGTCCCTCACTTGACGTCATCTTGTGACATTACTATTTTGAATTATTTCAATTATGCTCTTAATTTCTTCCAATTGCATTTCAATTTCATTTAATTGCACCTTTAAACTAAAATCAAAACAAAATAAATAAAAAGAAAAAATGGTATAAAAAAATATAGGATAAATGAAAATCATGAAAATAAAGATGAAAGATCAATAAAACAAAACCTTATTTTTTTTCTTTTTCTCTTTGAAATAAAAATGTAAAATTATAAAAATTAAAATTATAAACTTAAATAGAAAATGAAAATAGTAAAAAAATAAAAATAGATATAACCGAAATTTTGGGTTTTGACAATTGTTCTCCCTTTATGAAGCATACGGTGCAAATGCCGACCGAAATGCGAACTTCGATTGGATTTGAACAGTGAGCTTGTGAATAAGACATAAATCGAATAGTGAAAATGAAGGGTCTAATTATCCTAGGTGACCGTTCCTAAAAAGAAAAATGCAATGCTCTTTTATTGTGAAGGACGGTCTAACTCGAAAAGCACAACATGATGGCTTGTTGTGAAGAGTGGTCTCATCTCGAAAAATAAAATATTATGATTTTGTTGTGAAAGGTAGCCTACCTTAAAAAATAAAATATGATGGCCTTGTTGTGAAAGGTGTCCTATCCTAAAAAGTAGAATATGATGACCTTGTTATGAAGGATCGTTTACCCTAAAAAGTAAAATATGATGTTCAAACGAGATCAAACAAACGAATCTTTGGTAGGTGATCCGATTGAAAATGATATATGAACCGTTTTGGGTGATCTTTTTTCTTAAAAAAATGAGATAAGAGAAACGAACCTTTAATAGGTAATCCGATCCAAAAAGATATAAAAACCATTTTGGGTGATATTTTTCTTTTTTGAAATGAGAGTTGAAAAATAAACCTTTGACGAGTGATTTGATCAAAAAGGGTATACGAACCTCTTTGAGCGATCTTTTTTCTTTTTAAAAAATGAGATCAAAGAAAAAATTCTTTAACATGTTATCCAATTGAAAAAGAATATACGAACCACTTTAGGTGAGTCGATAAGATATTTTTTTGCAATACATCAATGAAACTAATTATACTTGTTAGTTTCTTACCTATTTGAAATATAACCTATACGTTGAAAACTCAAATTTTCTTTTATTAGATTGCTATTGATGAAGCTGAATCTAAATTATACTAGAATCATCAACTTTTGTTTTGCTTAAGGTACGCCTACTACCTTTTGGTTTAGTTGCTTCAACTTTTTTGATTAATGCTCGAACACCCATTTCGTCTAACTTGATGATGTCATTGTTTGATCAATTATCAAATTTAGTTCGGTGGTTAGATCTTTAAACCTCGCTCCTAAATTTTTTTAGTCTTATGGATTACCATTCGGATCGGGTTATGAGATGCCCCTAAGTACTAGTTGATATCATATATTCCTAAATCTCTCGGTACAATCATTGCTTATGTTCGGATGCTTATCTTTTGATGTTTGCATCATAATTTATAAATTGATCTTGAATTTTTTGTCATCTTTCAAGAAAGATAATTGAATAGACATTTGATTTTCATGGATTAACTCATGAACTTGAATGATTCTCTCAAATACAATTCAAATTATTTGAAAGAAATATAGAGATACTTTGATGAAAGTACTTTCATTCATGAATATGTTCAAGTTAATCGATCCAAAGTCAAAATATAACATTTAAATGCAATGATATAATTCCCTCAAGAAGGTTGTTGGGCTAAACTGAAAAAATTTATTTAGGTCATGCAAAATTTCTACAAAACTAGTTTTCGAAGTTATCAAAGGAAAATGGTAAAACGATAAGTCCATTTTGGTGAATAATATT